GTCTTATCCTCTTCTGTGGTTTATAAGGACATGGGTTGTTGGATTTAGGGTCCAGTCTAAATGATAATCCCTCCCACCTTCTCAGGACATGGGACCTGTCTTAACCCAGGACGGGGCATCTCAAGATCCTTTCCCTAATTACATCAAAGCAAAAGCCCCTTTTCCAAATGAGCGCACGTTCACAGGTCGGGTCAGGCTGCGGGAGAGCCTTTTCCAGGACACAGCAGGACCCGCTGCATCCCCAGCAGGACAGGTGCTCCTGTGTGGGTTGTCTCTGCCTTAGGCTGGGCTGATGATACAGGCCTCTCTGCAGGGTGCTTGCCTGTTTCAGAAAAACTGCAGCCCCTCATAGCCCTCCCCTAAAGGTGGCCTGAGCGCCTTGAGGGCCACGTCTGTGGCAGCCATCTCTGTGTACTCAGGGCTGAGAGTGGTGTGGGGCACACAGGAGGGTGATTTGTAAATAACACAGAATGGAAAAAGGAGGGAGGAGAGTGGCTCTCCCCGTGGGTAAAGTGGGATGACAGCAGCTCCAGTGCCAAGGCTGCCCTGAGGCGCATTAGTGTCACTGCCTGGCTCAGGTGGTCGCAGTCCGCAGCACCTGCCGCCAGGAGGCTGACGAGCACTCTTACTGGTGTGAGACAGGGCAGCGGCAGTGGGGCGGGGTTTGTCTTCTCCAGAGTCCACTCAGCCATTCTGGGGACAAAAAACTCAAGATCCCCCGCAACCTCTGCATGCCAAGCACAGCCCGGGGGAGGGGGCTGGGCCCCTCCCTGGCTCGGGCATCTCTGGGGGCCTCCCCTAGGCTGAGACCTACAAAGCAGCCCTGGGGCCCCTTCTTCTGCCACAGAGAGGGGCCCGGGGAAGCCTCATCGGAAACATCCCGAGGGGCCTGCAGGTGGGTGCCCAAGATGTTTTGTGCAAACCCTGACGAGTCACCACGCTCAGCATGGCCAGGCCTGGCCTCCCCAGTGCTTCTGCCCAACCTGCCCAGCTGTGGCTTGGGGCTGGGGCTGGGGCTGCAGGCCATGCTGGGTGGGGAATGTTGAGGAGGGGAGTAGGGTGCCTTCGTGCAGGGTTAGAGAACCCCCAGTGTTGGGAGGGAAGGACAAGCTGATGTCGGTCCTCGTCCTCTGCTGGGAGTCCTTGTGCAGTGCACGACCTGCTCAGCCATACCCAAGAAAGAGGAAGGGGGAGGGGATGATAGGAGCCAGAGGGAATGGAGGAAAAGGCAGGAAAAGATGGGGAGAGCGAGAAGCCCTCCACCTCGGCCTGGTGCTCTCGCCCCCATCCCCCATCCCCAGGTAGAGCCAGTGACCCTCCCTCCTGGCATGGGGAACAGGTCTGTCCACACGCGGTTCTCTGGGACAGGACCTGGTCAGCTGATGGCGGCAGCCAGTGCCTGAGGAGGTAAATGGCTGAGTGGAAAAGTTCGGCAGGAGGGAGCGAGCAGAGGGAGCCGGAGCCCCCAGGCACAGGAGTGTTCTCCCTGGCCCCCCACCGTCGTCTGCTCCCTCCTGCTCCCCCTCGCATCCGGTGTCCCGCCCAGGGGAGGATGGAAGGAGGCAGCCCCACCGTGGACTCCACTCCGCCCCCGCCTCCTTCCTCCCCACCCGGGGCTGCCTCCTTCCCGGCGGCCGCTGCCCCATCTTCCGCTCAGCTCGGTTCTGAGGTGTGACGGCCGGAGCCCAGGCACAGGCTGCACCACGAGAACGGAGCCAGGGAACCGGCCAGGGCCGCGCGTCTCCCCACCTTCCGCGCGCTCCCAGCGCTGTCCCGGGGGTCGCAGGGCCAGAAAGACACGCCCGGGGGGACCTGCGGGACCTGCGGACTGGGCGGGGTCCGGGGTCCCGTGGGCGCAGAGGACGGGAGGAGGCAGGGCGGCCTGCGCTCCTGCGGGTGGCTGAGGCAAGCGCAGAAATACCGGGTTGGGCAAGACTGGAAAGGCGGCGGCAGGAAGGCTGGAGGGCGGCCCGGAGGCGGAGGTCCGGACAGGCCGGCTCTCAAACCACAACCGGGGCCCGCCCCCAGCACACCACGTCCCCGGACCCTGGTGGGGAACGAGGACCCTGGTGCGGAACGAGGGGTCTCAGACAAACGCAGAGCCGGGCGGGTCAGAGGCAGCGCGGGGGACTTCCCCCAGACGCAGGGAAGGACGGACCCACAGCCAGGAGCCCTTTAGCGCCCTGAGCGGGCCTGTGGGAGGAGGGGTGAGGCAGGGAGGGCACTGGGCAGGGCCGAAGGAGACCCTCTCTGCAGGGTCTCCCCCACATCAAGGCGCAGGTGCACAGTGGGTCACGCGCAGCCAGCTGCCCACAACACAGATGTGTCCAGCCGGGTGGGCAGGGCGGGGGCACTGCTGGCGGGGGTGCAAAATCGTCATGAGACGTTGGCTGGGACAGCAGAGGGCCCCTCCCTGAGGTGCCACCCCCCCACACCCCCCCATGGGTTTTCCCCATCGGGAGTGGTCTCGTGTGTCTCGGCCTTTTCCTCTTCTGTGGATCCCTCTAGGGCCACCGCCTCCAAGCAGGGTCTACATCCGCCTGCCCACCCAAAGCCCAGTCAAAGGGGTGGGTAGGAGCGTGGCTGTGGGGGAGGGGCTGCAGGCAGAGGGCAGAGGCCCTGGGGCACGCCCTGGGAGGGGCTGGCAGGCGGGTGCCATTGTCAGAACCCCACACAGGCTTTCCAGTCACTGCATGGGGAGCAAGGAGGACGTGAGCGCTAACCGCCTGGAGCAGGACGTGCCTGGAGGGCGTGGACACCCGTGGATGCCCATCACACAGCAAGGCCACCCTTCCCAGCTGCCTGACTGAACATCCTCCCCACTCGACCACATGGGGCAGTCACCCTCCTAGGACAGGCCCCTCTGCACCGATGTCCAAGAGCCACAGGGATGGGTAGCCACACCTGGGGTCCACTGCCACCTGGTGCGAGTTCAAACCCAGCTCCAGACTGTGGTGCCTAGGGCTGTGGCTGGGGGCTGATCAGCTGCAGAGGGGTCCTCGCCTGGTCCTAGTCCACATGTGAGCTGCGGTGGGCTCACCTGTCCGCTCCTGGCCGGAAAGAGACAGTCACTGCAGGCGCCAGTTGGAGGTGCCCCACACTGGAGGCACAAGGCACCATTTCCTGGCCTCCAGCCCTCATGGTACAGCCTACAAATGACAGGCTGCAGGCTGGCACCCAGAGTGGCCTGGACTCCAGCTCTGTGGCCTTGAAGGCCACCATTTCCAGAGAATGAGAGTTTCCTTTGCACCTGGCTTTGACCTGATGGCAAATCTGGTAAGCCTCAAAAAATGGTGGCCGGGCGCGACGGCTCAAGCCTGTCATCCCAGCACTTTGGGAGGCCGAGGCGGGCGGATCACGAGGTCAGGAGATCGAGACCATCCTGGCTAACACGACGAAACCCCGTCTCTACTCAAAATACAAAAAACTAGCCGGGTGTGGTGGTGGCGCCTGTAGTCCCAGCTACTCAGGAGGCTGAGGCAGGAGAATGGCGTGAACCCGGGAGGCAGAGGTTGCAGTGAGCCGAGGTCGCGCCACTGCACTCCAGCCTGGGCAACAGAGTGAGACTCTGACAAAAAAAAAAAAAAAAAAAAAAAAAAAAAAAAATTGCCAAATTGCTGAGACACAATCAGCGGCTGGGGGAGAGGGGAGTGGCGACAACCCGGGCGGCAAGGGTGGAACGCCGCCGGTGGTGCCCCACCCGCCCCGCCCCCGGGAAAAAAGGGGAAAACAAAAAAAAAAAAAAAAAAAAAAAAAAAAAAAAAAGCCATTGCTGAGACACACGATCCAGCCGCTGGGACACAAGATGAACTGTGTGGCCTCCGCTGTGGGAGGGACGTGGACATAAAATGGGAAACAGTTCCCTCAGGAGTGCACAGGCGGTCCAGCTGCAGTGCTCACTCACGCCCAGCTCCTCTGCCCACACTGTCATTTAATCCAGGAGAAGAGTGGCACGGACGCAGGTCATGCTGGGAGCAGAAGCGCGGGTTGCTGCCTCCCTGGGGCTCCGCTCGCAGCCCCGGGGGAGGGAGCTCTCTCTTGGGGGTCTCATCCCAAACCTCGTGTCAGGCAGCAGATGAGGGACACGGGTGGGCCACAGGCCCGGGCACACTGCGGCTCCTTGCATCTGATTAAAGGAGGCGCTGCGGTGGCTCAAGCCTGTAATCCCAGCACTTTGGGAGGCCGAGACGGGCGGATCACAAGGTCAGGAGATCAAGACCATCCTGGCTAACACGGTGAAACCCCGTCTCTACTAAAAAATACAAAAATCTAGCCGGGCGAGGTGGCGGGCGCCTGTAGTCCCAGCTACTCGGGAGTCTCGAGGCAGGAGAATGGCGTGAACCCGGGAGGCGGAGCTTGTAGTGAGCTGAGATCCGGCCACTGCACTCCAGCCTGGGCGAGAGAGCGAAACTCCGCCTCAAAAAAATAAATAAATAAAAAAAAATAAAGGAGGCGCTGGAGGCCCTGGAGCGTGTACCTGGGAGGCCTCTGCCCAGGTGCAGGCCTGTGGCTTTCAAGGTGGAGAGCAGAGAGCAGCGGGGGGGGGGGTCCTGGGGGGCTCTGCCGGTGGCCCCTGCTGTGGAACGTGGCATCACACACGGGGCCTGGCTCAGCAGGTCTGGGGCCTGCACACGGAGCCGGTGGTGGTCACTGCAGAGGTGGCAGCTGGGCTCAGGGCTGGGAGTCAGCCCGGGACCTCTTCCCCTCCAGCAGCTCCATGGCCCCTGCAGGGAAGGTACCTCCATCTCATGAACCAAGGAACGCCCAACCCAGCCCCACAAATGGAGAAACTGAGGTGCAGTGCTTCCCTGGGCTGGGGTCTGAAGGCAGGAGCGGCTCCATGGCCGGTCCTCCCAGGGGGAGTGAGCGCGCAGCCACACCCTTGTCCCCCAGCAGCTCCCCAGCAGCTCCCGAATTCTGGGCCAAGTGCAGTGCACGACACAGAGGCAGACCCGGCTGTGCTCGGGCAGAGGGCGCACACACCACAAGGCAAGAACAGCTGCTTATCAAAATATTTTATTTTAGGAGACCCCTCAAAAAAGACCCTCCACATTAGACAGACGCCCCAACAATACCCTTGGCTTTTTTTTTGGTCTTTTCTGTATTTTTTCCTGTTTAAATCAACTAAAACAATTTGATGCTTAAAATAAAAGACAGGAAGTATTTCCTGATGAGACTTTAGTCGAGAATATAGATATTTCTGATCCGGGGGCGGGTGATCGGGGGCGGGGAGGAGAAGGAGGTGCCACCAGTGGTTCGCGAGGTTCCATTTCTCAGCTCAGGAGGGAGCCTGGCTGCCTGGACCCGGGCTGGGGACGCAGAGCTGGGGCTCCACAGGCCCAGGCCTGACCAGGGCCAGGGAAGAAGACGGTGGAGGAGGAAGAGAAGGCGGGGCTGGCGGCTGGGGCTTGTAATTTACATGAGAACTGTGCTGGTCACTAGCGCTGTCTGTGTCTGTCCTGTGGGACTTCTGCTCTGGGGAGGGAGGCTGGGACTCAGCGTCGTCGTCATCTCCTGTGTGGCTTCTTTTCCAGCTGAGAAACTTTTTTTTCTTTTTTACTTTTTAAAAAGAATCACAGCCAAAATAAGACATTAACTGCAAAATCCAAAATGGCTGCGCTTACCCTATGTATAAAAATGCGTCCAGTCCCGTCAGGGGCACGGCCTATGCTTTCCCGGGGATCTTGGCCCGCTTGCGCGCAATAGCGTCCTCCACGGCCTTCAGCTGTTTCAGCAGCTCCTCCCGCCGTGACAGCGTGCTGGCCTTCCCTGATTTGGTGCTGGCGGCGCCGGGATCCGAGGCTTTGCCGGGCACGCTCGTGACCTTGCTGGAGCTCTTGGACTGTGGTGACAGCTGGCGCTTCCTACAAGGGGGTGGGGAAGACCTTGAGCCCCCAGAAACCACGTCTGAGGTGGAAGCAGCAGTGCGGTGCCCTCCCTGGAGGGGAACTTCCACTGAGTGCTCAGTGGCCACCAGGAGAGGCAAGGGGCTCCTGGGATGGCCAGGCTCCCACTGCCACAAGCAGGCCTGGTCCTAGCCACTGGCTCCCGGGCTTTGTGGAGTAGAGACTGGGAGGGTCCTGGACTGGCCCCGCACAACCTGCTCTTCTTCCCACCTCCGTGCCCAGAGCTCTTTGCCCAAGGACATGGGGAGCAGAGGGCAGCCTCCAGCCTCGACCAGGGCAGGAGTGTGTGTGCGGGAGTGGGGTTGCCCTTCCCTGTCCCTGTCCCTCACCACATCAGCCCAGCAGGAGCTACAGGAGCTGGAGCACCTCCAACCTGGCCCAGTGCTAGCCCTGCTGCTGCTGGCCTCCCTGGGAAAGAGGCTCAGGCGAGCCCCCCTCGGTGTGCCCAGGGCACATGCTGGGTCCACTGCTGCTGGCCTCCCTGGGAAAGAGGCTCAGGCGAGCCCCCCTCAGTGTGTCCAGGGCACATGCTGGGTCCACTGCTGCTGGCCTCCCTGGGATGCTGGGTCCACTGCTGCTGGCCTCCCTGGGAAAGAGGCTCAGGCGAGCCCCCCTCAGTGTGTCCAGGGCACATGCTGGGTCCACTGCTGCTGGCCTCCCTGGGAAAGAGAGGCTCAGGCGAGTCCCGCCTCGGTGTGTCCAGGCAGCCAAACCACTGCCGCTGGCCTCCCTGGGAAAGAGGCTCAGGCAGCCCCTCAGTGTCCAGGGCACATGTTGGGTCCACTGCTGCTGGCCTCCCTGGGAAAGAGGCTCAGGCGAGCCACCCTCGGTGTGCCCAGGGCACATGCTGGGTCCACTCACCTGTCAGCTGGGGCTGCAGGGGCTTTGGAGTTCTGGCCTCTCTGTCGCTCTGGCTTCGGGGAGCCCAGTCTCCCACCTGACTTCCGGTCCCGAGAACCTGGGTGATAGGCACAGAGTGAGACCACCCTCCTGGTTTACAGGGGATGGCAGTGTGGGTGGCCTCACCAATGCCAGGGACTCACTTCTAAAGCCTGAGGCTGCTTAGTTCACCTCCTTCATTTTTATAAAGAAATAAAAAGGGAAGAGCCAAGTAGAAGAGAAGAGAGATGTGGACACCAAGGCATCCGGAAATGAGGCTGAGGCCAAACCTGGGCTCCAGGTTCCACCAAGCAGCCAGTATCTTGTGCAGAGAGACAAAACTCCTTCCTAGCTTTGAAGAAATTTATCACATGGGGCTTCAAATACAGAACAACAAAAAAGACATGGCAGTAAAGACATACAAGCAAAGCCGAGAGACCAGGAGTGTTTCACTCTGGCAATGTTAGGAAGGAGGTGCGGCAGCCTAGGCAGGGTCCACTGCCCGGCGCAGGCCCAAGGCTCATGCGTGAACAAAGGTCTGCAGGACCCCAGTGGCCCTGGCTCCAACCCCAGGCAAGGACAGCAAGGCTGTTCCAGACCAGCCACACAGGAAACAGCCCTGGGCTTAGGGACAAAGGTGAGCAGCTTCCTCTTCCTGTGCCCGACAAACTCAGAGAACTACTTGGGAAGGGGTCTGAAGCCCCCTGCCTGTTCTCTGTGTCTGGGAATGGCTGTGTGGGTGGCCAGGCCCCCTTGTCCTCTGAAGTTCCACCCATCAAAGCCAGCCAGGACAACCTCCCTGTCTTTCCATCTGGGCCCCAGCTCTTGGGGTGTGTGGTCAGGACGGCTGGGGGTCCCCGAGGCCCTTTCAGGTCTATGTGGCTCAGCAGTAACACAGACACTGTCTGCCCTGTCACTCAGTTCGCAGGAGCCCAGGAGGGTCTCCAGAGGGCACGAGGCATGTGGGTCCAGCTGTCTTCTGCCAATCAAACTGAAGAGATTTGCAAAAATGGAAAAACCAATGCCATTCCTGCTCATTTGTTTTGGAAAATATAATTATATTTTGCAAAAATGACACGTGTAAGAAAAATACAGTTGCTCTTGTTGCCCAAGCTGGAGCGCAATGGCGCAATCTCAGCTCACTACAACCTCCGCCTCCCGGGTTCAAGCGATTCTCCTGCCTCAGCCTCCTGAGTAGCTGGGACTACAGATGTGTGCCACTATGCCCAACTAATTTTTTGTAGTTTTACTAGAAACGGGGTTTCACCATGTTAGCCAGGCTGGTCTCGAACTCCTGACCTCAGATGATCTGCACACCTTGGCCTCCCAAAGTGCTGAGATTACAGGTGTGAGCCACCATGCCCGGCCTATTACTGTTATTTTTATTTATTTATTTTTGAGACAGAGTCTTGCTCTGTGGCCAGACTGGAGTACAGTGGTGTGATCTTAGCTCACTGCAACCTCCGCCTCCCGGTTCAAGTGATTCTCCTGCCTCAGCCTCCTGAGTAGCTGGGATTACAGGTGCCCGCCACCATGCCCAGCTAATTTTTTTTGTGTTTTTTTTGGGGGATGACGGAGTCTCTGTCACCCAGGCTGGAGTGCAGTGGCGCGATTTCGGCTCACTGCAAGCTCTGCCTCCCGGGTTCACACTATTCTCCTGCCTCAGCCTCCCAAGTAGCTGGGACTACAGGCCTCCGCTACCACGCCCGGCTTTTTCTATTTTTAGTAGAGATGGGGTTTCACCGTGTTAGCCAGGACGGTCTCAACCTCCTGACCTCGTGATCCACCCGCCCCGGCCTCCCAAAGTGCTGGGATTACAGGTGTGAGCCACTGCGCCCGGCCTAATTTTTGTATTTTTAGTAGAGACAGGGTTTTACCAGGTTGGCCAGGCTGGTCTCGAACTCCTGACCTCAAGTGATCTGCCCGCCTCAGCCTCCCAAATTGCTGGGATTACAGGCGTGAGCCACCGTGCCTGGTCCTGTTACTTTTAAACATTTAAAAACTTTTCTTAGTTTTAGTTTTCAATACTGTAATACTGACAGGCTTAATCTGCAAGTCAGATGTTTTCTGGGCCCTCCTGCTTGTTAAGAGCCATGGGGTCTGAGTCCAGGGGCTCCGCATCCCCAGGCTCCCGCCCCCTGCCCTGCCCCCTGGGGCTGGGAGGCTCACCTCGGTCTGGGGATGTGTTGGCCCGCTTGGCTGGAGGAGGGCTCTGCCTGTCCTTGTCTGATGGTTCATAGCGCTTCCTGCTTCCTTTATCAGCCGCCTGGGACAACCGAGAGGCTGGTGAGGATGGCAGGGCCAGGAGACAACAGCTGTGTCCTCACCCCAGACAACATGGGTTCCTTGCCAGCAACCTGCTCTGCTCCCAAAGGTCCCACCACATGCCCATGAGACCCGGTAGCTCCGAGTGAGGCCTCCATGACCTGGAACAAGGGCACCCCCACTGTGCACTTGGGGCCCTTCATGTTCCATGGGAAGCACCCTGAAGGCCTTCCTGCTCCCCATGGTGGCCACTCGAGGAGGACCTGGGACCCCTGAAACCAGGCCTCTTAACCTTCCCACAGAGGACAGGGATGTGCCCTGCTGAGGGCAGAGTACAGGGACCGAGGCTTCCTGTATTGTGTTGAGACTGACTGGCAGGGAATGGCGGCCACAGGCATAGAGAGAACACCCTCTCTGTTCAGAGACAGGCTGGCAGCACCCGAACCTCCCCAGATGCTCACACTTCCTGGCCCAGGCTGGGAAGATGGAGTCTCGCTCTGTCACCCAGGCTCTGCCGACACCTGCAAGGCCCCACTGGCCCTCACTCAGGTTCTGTCCCCCAGGAGGAAGCTGTCTCAGAAAGCAAATGGACCCAGGCCCAGACGCTGGGGTAGCCACCAGCAGGGCCCTTGCCCTCACCTTATTCAACAGTGTCAACTTGATCTCCTTGTGGGCCACAAACGTGCCCTGCTGGGGCTGCCCGGGGGGTGCCTGCTGGGGGGTCGAGGACTGCTGGGAGGACTTCCCCCCTGCTGGAGGTTTTGCAGATTTAGGTGGTTGCGTGGATGAATCCCTTTTCCGCTTTTCCTCTTTAACACCGTCTTCTTTCTTAGATTTTCCTACCAACGATAAATCTGCAGTCATGCGGGTACTGGTGATTTTCCCGTGGCCACACCGACAGCCAGGCAAAGTCTGTGCTGATGACACCCTCCTCCCCCTGGAGCTACTCCTTAAAGGTACCAGGGCTCCCGAATACCTTTCTCCTTCCTGGTCTGGGCTGGGGCTGGGGACCGAGAGCTGGCTGAGGACACGGGGCTAGCCAGGTCTGCGTACATGTCCTCCGAGTCCACGCTGTGTGCAGAGCTGCTGCTCGACGTAGCACTGGACACTGAGGAGACACTGCTCACGCTCAGGGACCTGGACACATGAGAACATCTCACCACACTCCAACCACAGACTGGAGGGAGGGGCTGGCGGGGGGTGTTCCATAGTCCACGTTTACCCAGTGTCCATTTATGGATCCTGTACCCATGGAATGTGTGATTTTGGGGGGACACTGGGCAGTTCCAGGGTTACACTGTAAGGGACGTCTCCATGGCTGGGCCAGGGCCCCATTTCACTAATGAATGTCAGGTTGCGGGCTGGGCGCGGTGGCTCGCGCCTGTCATCCCAGCACTCTGGGAGACTGAGATGGGCAGATCACCTGAGGTCAGGAGTTTGGGACCAGCCTGGCCAACATGGTGAAACCCCGTCTCTACTAAAAATGCAGAAATTAGCCAGGCATAGTCGCGGACGCCAGTAATCCCAGCTGCTGGAGAGGCTGAGGCAAAATAATTGCTTGAACCCGGGAGGTGGAGGTTGCAGTGAGCCAAGACTGTGCCACTGCACTCTAGCCTGGGCAACAAGAGCGAAACTCCGTCTCAAAACAAACACAAACGAAACGAATGTCAGGTTGCTTGTTGGGAAGGGAAACAGGACTGAGCTGAGCCAAGAGTGGCAAGGATGGAATTTAAGCAGAGTCCCTGGCTTAGACACCCGCAACAAAAGGGCGACAGCCTCAGCCCACAGGGAAATTAAAACACAACGAGCTGTTCCGCACAGTCTCAGGGAATGCCTGAGGAACACGCAGCAGACAGACTGGAAACAGCAGGTCTGCAGCTCCACTGGCTTGCACTCTACACGGACACAGAGCACAGGACTGGCATCTGAGTCCGCCCTGCCCATGTGTTGCTCGGGAAAACACCAATCACATCCCCCAGGCACGCCGGGTACCGCAGCAGGGAACCGGGGAAGGTAAGAGAACCATTTTTTTTTTTCAAAAGTCAGGTCTTTTAAAACATTTCAGACCTATCAAGAAACATTCTGGGCCAGGTGCGGTGGCTCATGCCTATAATCCCAGGAGTTTGGGAGACCACGGTGGGAGGATCACTTGAGCCCAGGGGTTCTGAGACCAGCCTGGGCAACAGAGCAAGACCATGTCTCTCCAGAAACAAAACAAACAACAGAAAAAAAGTTTGACGGCCGGGCGCGGTGGCTCACGCCTGTCATCCCCGCACTTCAGGAGGCCGAGGCGGGCGGATCACGAGGTCAGGAGATCGAGACCATCCTGGCTAACACGGTGAAACCCCGTCTCTATTAAAAAATACAAAAACTAGCCGGGCGAGGTGGTGGGCGCCTGTAGTCCCAGCTACTCGGAAGGCTGAGGCAGGAGAATGGCGTGAACCCGGGAGGCGGAGCTTGCAGTGAGCTGAGATCCGGCCACTGCACTCCAGCCTGGGTGACAGAGCCAGACTCTGTCTCAAAAAAAAAAAAAAAAAGGCCGGGAAAAAAAAAAAAAAAGGCCGGGCGCGGTGGCTCAAGCCTGTAATCCCAGCACTTTGGGAGGCCGAGACGGGCGGATCACGAGGTCAAGAGATCAAGACCATCCTGGCTAACCCGATGAAACCCCGTCTCTACTAAAAATACAAAAAAAAAATTTAGCCGGGCGTGGTGGCGGCGCCTGTAGTCCCAGCTACTCGGGAGGCTGAGGCAGGAGAATGGCGTGAACCCAGGAGAGGCGGAGCTTGCAGTAGTGAGATCCGGCCCTGCACTCCCAGCCTGGGCGACAGAAGCGAGACTCAGTCTCAAAAAAAAAAAAAAAAAAAAAAAAAAAAAAAAAAAAAGTTTGACAAACATATAAACCACCTGCTGCCTGGAAATGAAAGAGTTCTATGCTTTGAGGAATAAAAAAAAAAAAAAAAAAAAAAAAAAAAAAGTTTGACAAACATATAAACCACCTGCTGCCTGGAAATGAAAGAGTTCTATGTGAGGAATCTAAGGACTGATTTAATACTTTCTTTCAAAATCACTAAACAGCAGAAATCTTTTTTTTTGAGACAGGATCTCTGTTGTCCAGGCTGGAATGCAGTGGCATGATCACAGCTCACTCAACCTTGACCTCCCAAGTAGCTGGGACCACAGGCACACACCACTATACCTAGCTCATTAAAAAAAATTTCTGGCCTGGACGTGGTGGCTCATACCTGTAATCCCAGCACTTTGGGAGGCTGAGGTGGATGGATCACCTGAGGTCAGTTCAAGATCAGCCTGACCAACATGGTGAAACCTAGTCTCTACTAAAAATACAAAATTAGGCTGGGTGCGGTGGCTCACACCTGTAATCCCAGTACTTTGGGAGGCCGAGGTGAATGGATCACCTGGGGTCAGGAGTTCAAGATCAGCCTGACCAACATGGTGAAACCCAGTCTCTACTAAAAATATAAAATTAGGCTGGGCGTGGTGGCTCACGCCTGTAATCCCAGCACTTTGGGAGGCTGAGGTGGGTGGATTGCCTGAGCCCAGGAGTTTTGAGACCAATCTGGGCAACACGGTGAAACCCTGTCTCTACTAAAATACAAAAAATTAGCTGGGTGTGACAGCATGCGCCTGTAGTCCCAGCTACCCGGGAGGCGGAGGTTGCGAGACTGCGCCACTGCACTCCAACCTGGGCAACAAGAACGAAACTGTCTCAAAAAAAAAAAAAATATATATATATATATATTTTTTTCTGTGGAGATGGAGACCCTATGTTGCTCAAGCTGGTCTCAAGTCCTGGGCTCAAGCAATGCTCCTGCCTTGGCCTCCCACAGTGCTGGGATCACAGGTGTGAGTCCCTGTGCCTGGCCCACAAAGCTTTTCCATGTATTCTCTTCTGAGATGTTTTTTATCGGCTTCCCCACCCCTCCGGCTGGTTCCCTTGATAGCTGTGACAGGCCGTGCAGGCCCAGCCTCTGTGGCTCCTCCCCAGGTACAGGTGCTCTCCCAGGTGCTGTGGCATCAAGTCAGCAGGGAAGAGGCACCTCCTCCTGACCCGAGTGCCCTCGAGTTTGTGAAGCTGTTTTTGTGGGGGAAGGGGGGGTCTCCCTATCACATAAGTCCTGGCCCATTTTCTCCCGTGTCAAAGTTTTGACCACAGCCTTCCACGGCCCCAAGGTGACTCAGACACAGAGGGGCCCCAAGCCCGCCTGTGGGAGACAGCCCAACCCACAAGCTGGCTTCTTCGGGGGACTTCCTGGCCCCAAAGGGGAGGGAGAAACAGAGGCACAGGGTGATGGGGACGACCTGGATCGGGAGCTGGAACCACTATAGCTGCTGCCACTGCCACTGCCGCTGCCACTGAGCGTCCGCCTGTAATACAAGCAATAGCTGGGCTCAGGGGGCGTGGCCTCCGCAGCCCCTCATGGCCTCCCCTCCCCACCAGCAGCCCAGCAGCCCTGTGAGGTGAGGCTCCAGACTGGCCTTGCCACCGCCTTGGAACAGAGCCTGGGCCTGTCTTCCTTTAGGCACAGTGTTTCGTCAGGATAAAAAGTGCAGTCTCTCAGGGCAGCACCTCCCAGTGTAGACGGGCGGCGAGGGGAAGGCCTGTGCTCCCTGCCAAGCTGTCCTTTCTCCTTCACGCTCCAGAAACAGACTCAGGGAGGGGACAGGACGGGTTCCCGGGTAAGGGCTCACTGGGTGCTGCTGCTCGGCTGGGGAGGGCCTCCCACCACCTGGCTCTGGACCCTGGCACTCTGGATTTCCAGCAGTGCCAGCATCATAGTGGCACCAAGAACATGGAAAGCCCGAAGGCCCACGGACACCGAAATGCTCACCTCCTGGGGGGGGTCCTGGCTGGCCGCTCCTTCCTCCTGGCTTCCCGAGGGTCTCCTGGCTTGGTGGGCTCGGGGACAGGAGCTGTGGTTTTGGTGGCCTGTGGTGGGGCTGGAGGCAGGGCCGGCTTCTTCACTGACTTCTCTCTGTGAGACACGGAGGCTCCAGCAGGGCAGGGCTGGTGGATGAGGCCCCGCTGGCCTATGTCCTCTTTAAATGTACCCACACCTCGGGGAACGACACCGCATGTTTGTGACGCTAAGTGAGCACGCTCGTGCCTGGACACGGTTCCCACCTGTCAGCGTCAGAGCGCTTGGGAATGGCTTCGAAGCCCCCAGCAGCCCTTCCGGGCTCCCCAATAACAGGCAAGAGCTACAGGCACCGCCAGACAGTGGGGAGAGCAGGCTAACACGAAGAGCCCTGAGAACACCCGGCTGCTGCCATGTCCCCAGGGCTGTGCTCCGTCCCCAGGGCTCCCAGGGGAGCACTGCAGTGTAAGGGCGGCCTGGGAGAACAGGCGCTGTGCCCAGTGCCCCCCAGCCCAGTCACCCTCTGGGAACAGCTCCCCCGAGGCATCCGCACCTCTTTGGTCCCAAACACAAATGAGAGAGAGAGATGGAGGGAGGAGGCTGCAGCCTCTGGAGGCCTGGCCGGCCAGGACTTGCCCACAGGCTGGGCACTCACCCTGCTTTCCCGGGCGGCGGGGCCGGCTCTCCCTTGGTTCTGATGGAAGGTCTATGTGGGGAAGGTGTTGGGGATGGGGAAGGGGACGAAGAGAAGGACCGGGACCTGGGGGAGTGAACAAAGGTGTGAGAAGGGGCCTGGGGGTGTTTCTTCAGCAGCCCAAGCCCACTGAGGACCGACCCACCCAGACCCATGGAGAAGGCCATGAATTTCCATTTATGTGCCTCAGGTTTAACTTCAGTTCTGGACTGTTCTGGCATCTGCTAAACACACAGGCCCAGAGCAGACCGTGGAGTGTGGAAGGTGTCAGCAGCGCCTGGCGGGCCCTCCGGGAGGCAGGTGCCACATTCACGTGTGTGCAGGATGGGAGGGTACAGGTTCCTTGGCAATGGGGCAGTAGAACAGCCCCCACAGAAACACCCGCAGGACAGGGCTGGGTCTGGCCCCTTCCTGCAGGACTGTCCCTGGAGGACTGGAGTGCCTCAACTCGAGGATCTCAGGCTGTGGCCCTCAAGTGACAGCACACATCTACACAAGGACGAGGGCCCGCAAGGCTGGTGTTTGGTGGGGGACACAGGACATGACCCCCTGGCCATCCTAGTTCAGCTGCCAGCAGGGACTTTCAATACCCCAAGGGGCTATTGGTGCCACAACTAAAGCTACATCCACAGGTGCCCATGCTCCCTGCACCTGCCGAGGGCCCTGCATGGGTTCCGGGGACGTACCTGGACCGGCTTCCTGAGAACGAGCTGTGTCTGGAAGAGCGGCTGGAGTAGGAGCTGTAGGATGAAGACCGGGATCGTGACCGGGAGGAGCCGGAGCCGGAGTAGGACGATGACCGTGAAGATGACCTGGGGTGGGCAGGAGGGAGAGTGGCGAGAAGTGAGAAGGGCCCTCCCTGCCCCGCACGCCCTCTGCTGACCTACTGCTCTTTGGCACAGACCTGAACGCACAGCTACACACACGTGCACAGACGCGCACATGCACACAGATGAACACATGCGCAGCTACACACCCACAGATGCACAGCTACATACACGCACAGACGTATATATGCACAGCTACACACACGCACAGACGCACAGCTATACATGTGCAAGTTGCACATGCGCACACACATATAGCTACACAGGCGCAGATGCACAGCTACACACATGCGCACAGCTGCACACGCGCACACAGACCCACAGCTACACACATGCGCACAGCTGCACACGCGCAGACACACAGACGCACAGCTACACACATGCGCACAGCTGCACACGCGCACACAGACCCACAGCTACACACATGCGCACAGCTGCACACGCGCAGACACACAGACGCACAGCCATACATGCGCACACAGCTACCCACATGCGCACAGACGCATACAGCCTCCCCCAGACACTCCCACCCCTCCTCAGTGGAGAATAGCATTTAGAAATCAAGACCTGGCCATGGGGTGTGCCTGCTGTTACTGGGTGTCGCTGCCTGAGTGGACAGAGCCAGGATGTGTGCGCTGATCCAGCTCACGTGCGTCTGGTGTGTTTATCTGTCCCTCTGCACCCACTGTGAAGCCTGGCCTCCCACCCACACCTCCTGTTCCTGCCGAGCACCGTGGGGTCCACCCCAGTCCCCTGCTTTCCGTCATCCCTCCCTTGGGAGCCAGGCTCCTGCGTGCTGAGACCAGGACTGTACGTGGAGGGGCACAGCTTCAGGTCCAGTCTGGAGGAACAGATGGACTCACTGGGCCCCAGGTCTGTGCATCCTCCCGCATCCAGATGCCCCTCCCTCCAGTGTAGCCCGGGACTCCCTGGGAGCAGTCAGGCTCAGTCGCCGGTGTCTGTGCCCCATTTGGGGTCACCGCATCAGTCCTACTTGGCATTGATGCTCTTTGCCGAATGTATAAACGCTGGGTTAGTCCCACTGACTGGCCTTCAGGCAGTGACCCCACAGCAAACAGTGGGGCTGTGGTGCTCTCCACCTGACCCACTGAGGTACACGGTGTTCGGCTGACGGCTCCGAGGTGCTGACACCGCAGCCATCCCAGAAGCCCTCCTTACCTGGAGGAATTAGAGGCAGAGGCCGACGAGGCTGATGTTTTGCGGCGCCTTCGAGCCCGGCTCGGGGAGACCGACACCCCGAGTTTCTTCTTGGGAGACTTGGATCGGCGCCAAGGGTCCTTCCACTCATCTGCTCGCTTCACCTGCGGCCCCGCAGTGGCGGCCTCCTTCTTTGGTGGCTCAGCTTGGCGGCTGAAATCACAGAGATATTAGCAACTCTCGGGCCACCTTCCGCTTCACGGCAATGCCGTGTGGGTGAGAGCAGTGGCGGAGACCACTGATCTCGTACCTGGCTCAGGATCACCTGAGAAACAAAGGGTCCTACAGGGGAAAACAGACCAGTCACAAAACCCACCATCGCAGGGAGGAGCAGAGCGCTCTCCACAAACAGTCTTGGCACCAGTGTCTGTTACTCAGGGACACCCAGGTTTCTCCCGAACCAGAACGGCAGTGACTTTTTGTGGGTGTCATTACTTACTTAATTTCCATCTTCCCGACTACGCTGTCAGCTCTGGGAGGGACAGGGATGGTGTCTAATACTATCTGTAGTGCTGACATACTAGTAGGTTCATAATAAATATTTATGAAATAAGCCCAGGCACGGTGGCTCATGCCTGCAATCCCAGCACTTTGTGAGGCCGAGGCAGGCGCAGAAGTTGAGGTCGGGAGTTCCAGACCAGCCTGGCCAACATGGTGAAACCCCGTCTCTATTAAAAATACAAAAATTAGGCTGGGCACAATGGCTCATGCCTATAATCCCAGCACTTTGGGAGGCTGAGGTGGGCGGATCACGAGGTCAGGGGTTCGAGACCAGCCTGGCCAACACGGTGAAACTCCATGTCTACTAAAAATACAAAAATTAGGCCAGTATGGTGGCTCACGCCTGTAATCACAGCACTTTGGGAGGCCGAGGAGGGTGAATCACAAGGTCAAGAGATTCAGACTATTCTGGCTAACACAGTGAAACCCCATCTCTACTAAAAATATAAAAAGCCAGGCGTGGTGGCGGGTGCTTGTAGTCAAAGCTACTTGGGAGGCTGAGGCAGGCGAATGGCGTGAACCCGGGAGGCGGAGCTTGCAGTGAGCTGAGATCACGTCACGCACTCCAGCCTGGGCCACAGAGTGAGACTCCATTTCAAAAAAAAAAAAAAAGGAAAAAAATTAGTTGGGCGTGGTGGCGGGCACCCATAATCCCAGCTACTTGGGAAGCTGAGGCAGGAGAATTGCTTGAACCTGGGAGGCAGAGGTTGTTGTGAGCTGAGATCGTGCCACTGCACTCCAATCTGGGTGACAGAGCAAGACTCTGTCTCAAACAAAACAAAACAAAACAAAACAAAAACTAGCTGGGTGTGGAATACGTGCCTATAATACCAGCTACTCGGGAGCCTGAGGCAGGAAAATTGTTTGAACCCAGGAGGCACAGGTTGCAGTGAGCTGAGACTGCACTTACTGCACTCTAGTCTGGGCAACAGAGTGAGACTCCATCTCAGAAAACAAATAAAAAACCCAACACAAATGATATTAAAGTGACCCCTTATACATAAATCTTCATCTGACTTCTTAAAGGGCAAACTCCTGAGAAATGGAATTAATGGGTCAAAGGAGATACACATTTTACAGGTTCTTGGTAGGTTATCAAATATTTTTTCCTCATTTAGCCAGAATTGTGCAGTGCCAAACCTGAGCTTGGTGTCACCACTAACAACCACAACCACCATCCAGACACAAACCAACCCAAAATCCTGGCAATTGTATAAGCAGAACATGTTTTTTTTTTTTTTTTTTAAAGACAGGGTCTTGCTCTGTTGCCCACGCTGGAATGTGGTGGTGGCATGATCACGGCAGCCTTGAGCTTCCAGGCTGAAGGGATCCTCCCACCTCAGCCTGTTTGAGTAGCCAGGACTGCTGGTGTGCACCACCACACCCAAGTCATCAAACACTGCTTTAAGGTCTCCGTGTTGCCCAGGCTGGTCTCCAATTCCAGGCCTCAAGCAATCCTCCCACCCTGGCCTCCGAAACTGCTGGGGTTGTGCCTGGCCTGCAAACACATTTTAAAAGGCTGTTTTAGCTCCTGTGTTACTGTCAGTGGGATTCTCTGCCCTATGTCTTGCTCACCTCCGGCTCTGCTGTGGTAGCATCTGCTTACGTCACATGACAACACATGAAACCATCAAAACCATCGGTGTTTATGTTTTCAGAGCTTGTTTAATCAACCAACTGGCCGGCAAACACGCCTGCTATCTGCCGAGAATGCAGGGTGGGGGCAGCTCCCCACTTAACACTGACCTAAGGACACGGACACACGACATCACAGCTTCGGCTCCTGTAATCAGCCCAAAACCCCAAGAGCTGTTGCCACATCTGGGAGTCTCCTGGAAAAGTAATCCAGGAAGAGGTCAACGCCTGTCTGATGATCCTCCTTGTCACAAGCTACTGGAGAGCTACTTTCACCTTTATACTTCCTGTATACTCTCATCCTAAAAACCCAAGAGGAAACGGAGCACTGGTGAGCCACAGGGACGGTGGCCCTTCCAACACAGGGAGAGGGAACAGCAGAAGTCAAGGCATGGTCGAGACCACCTCCTCTTCGGGTGAAGCTGTAACAGCATGTAGAGTCCTTGCTGTGGTGAGGGGGAAGGAAAACAGCGTCTGCTTGTCCCCTGCCATGGCATGGAAATAAAACCAGCTGAGGTCCGGAGAGGCGGGTGGTGCAGACCTCCACAACCTCAGGGCAGCTCGTGCTTGCCCCCCAGGAAGAACTGCTCATTCCCTCTGGGGACAATGACACCGAATTTCCAAATGAAGATGGCCAGAGGCAGGCCTCGCAGGGGTCAGTGAGGTCTCTCCTTCTCTGGGCCAGGGCTGTGGATGGGCCTGCACCGTCTTGTCACTGCACAGTGTGCCCTCCACTGCCGCCGGCCGCACCACTTTCCTTCTGAAGTAGCTGCTTCCAGGCCCATGGAGCAAGGAGGTCCTATCCAGCAAGCCCATGTTCCCATGTGTGGGACACGGTGGTACTGATTTTAACCAGGATGCAGATAACCAGTTTTTTTCTTTCTTCTCTCTTTTTTTTTTGAGATGGAGTCTTGCTCTGTTGTTCAGGCTGGAGTACAGTGGCACGATCTCGGCTCACTGCAAGCTCCGCCTCCCGGGTTCACGCCATTCTCCTGCCTCAGCCTCTCGAGTAGCTGGGACTACAGGCACCCACCACCATACCTGGCTGATTTTTGTATTTTCAGTAGAGACTGGGTTTCACCGTGTTAGCCAGCATGATCTCGAACTCCTGACCTTGTGATCCGCCCACCTTGGCCTCCCAAAGCGCTGGGATTACAAGTATGAGCCACCGTGCCCGGCCCATTTTTGTTTTTGTTTTTGAGACAGAGTCTTGCTCTGTCACTCAGGCTAGAGTGCAGTGGCGCAATCTCAGCTCACTGCAACCTCTGCCTCCCGGGTTCAAGTGATTCTTCCACCTTAGCCTCCTGAGTAGCTGAGATTACAGGCGCCCGCCACCATGATCAGTTAGTTTTTGTATTTTTCATAGACAGGAGGTTTTACCAAGTTGGCCAGGCTGGTCTCAAACTCCTGACCTCAAGTGATCCACCCACCTCAGCCCAGATAACCATTTGTACTTTTGACTTTATTACTACAGTAATAATGACAAATGATTTGGGATCAGCTTTACGGTAATGATGCAAAACTTCCTTTTAAAAGGTGTTTTAGTTTAAAAAGTGGACCAGATGCACTGGCTCACGCCTGTAATCCCAGCACTGTGAGAGGCTGAGGTGGCAGGGTCGCTTGAGGTCAGGGATTTGAGACTAGCCTGGGCAACACGGCAAAACTCTGTCTCTACAAAAAATACAAGAATTATCCAGGCACGGTGTTGTGCACCTGTGGTCAGTCAGGGCTGAGGCAGGAGAATCACTTGAGCCTGGGAGGTCAAGACTGCAGTGAGCTGTGATTGTGCCCCTGTACTCCAGCCTAGGCGAAAGGGCAAGAAGACCTTGTCTCCAAAAGAAAAAAAAAAAACAGTAAAAGTATTTAAAATACGCAAATACATAACAAGCAGTATCTGGATACAGAAAATTACGCAAGTGGGGGCTGGGCACGGTGGCTCACGCCCGTGATCCCAACACTTTGGGAGGCCGAGGCAGGCAGATCACTCGATGCCAGGAGTTTGAGACCAACCTGGACAACATGGTGAAACCCCGTCTCTACTAAAAATACAAAAATTAGCCAGGCCTAGTGCTGCGTGCCTGTAATTCCAGCTGCTCGAGAGGCTGAGGCATAAGAACTGCTTCAACTTTGAGGCCAGGTGCGGTGGCTCACCCCTGTAATCCCAGCACTTTGGGAGGCCGAGGCAGATGGATCACAAGGTCAGGAGATCAAGACCATCCTGGCTAACACGGTGAAACCCTGTCTCTACTAAATAAAAAACAAAACAAAACAAAACTAGCCGGGCAAGGTGGCAGGTGCCTATAGTCCCAGCCACTCGGGAGGCTGAGGTAGGAGAATGGCGTGAACCTGGGAGGTGGAGCTTGCAGTGAGCCCAAGATCGCACCATTGCACTCCAGCCTGGGCGACAGAGAGAGAGAGAGAGAGACTCCGTCTCAAAAAAAAAAAAAAAGAAAAGAAAAGAAAAATTATGCAAGTGGCACAAGAATTGGGTGAGTCTGGGAATTGATCTGTGTTGTTAAGTCACATCTATGGATTCTGAGAACCAAATATAAATGAACTGTGCCCCAGCTGGTGTCTTTCCTCAGACCTGGGGTGGGGGCCCAAACCATGAAGATGGCTTCGGTCGGGTGTGCACAGCTCCGGCGGTCAGTTCCAGCAGCAGGTGTCTTGGGAGGCTGAGCCAGTGCTCATCAAGAAAGCACCACGTGCGCTGTGGGGGAGGCAGGGCCAGGCTTGGCCGGTCCGAGGCGTAGAGCCGGTGCCAGGAAGCTGCTCCAGCCTGGCCATCTTCCTCATGCTCCCTCTACTGCTTACAGTTTCCCAAACTTTACAAAATCATTGTGTCTCACATTTATTTATTACAGAAAACATCTCAAATGTTATTTAAGGATTTTTCCATTTCTGTAAAGAAAACCATTTAATGCTGTTAACTCCTACATGCTCTCACGAATCTTCTAATAGTTTTTTTTGTTTTTCTTTGAGACAGAGTCTCGCTCTGTCACCCAGGCTGGAGCACA